GCATACTGAGGCCTGGGGCGGCGCAGATTTCTATTATTTCCCCTTCAGTCTCTTCAGTGTGGTTCTGATTTTGTCGCTGATGATCTTTTTTCCCTGACGCTCTTCTTGACACACAGTGTGTCTCAGCCGTTGTGTTACTCATTACGATGGAATGGTGTCCTTTATGCCCTTGCATATTAATATGTACAGTAATTTTGCTTGGATACCCTCCTTTTGTGTGCATTGTGCTTTTTATAAAGTGCGTATTTTTCTGTTCTTTTTCTTCGCCTGATTGTATGTCATTGTTTTGAACATTTACCACAGGCAATGGATCCGGCAACCGGCCACCGCTCTCTCCTCTCTCCGCAAGACAGCCTGCGCATTGACTCTTTTTATATGCCTTGTATGCCTGCAACGTCTCCTTCTGTGCCATCAGGCTTTTGGTTACGGCAGTGTCGTTGTCTATCGGCATTTGGTTATCACATTTGCGGTCGCCTTTTTGATGGTGGTGGTGGTGGTGGTGATTGTGTTGGTAGTATTGGTGGTGCTGATGTTCGTGGTGGCAGGGGTGCTTATGGTAGTTGTCGTTTTCGAAACTGGTTTGCGGGGTTAAACCACGTTCTGCCGCAGGCGCATATCCGTTCGAATAAGGCTCTTCACCGGGAAGCATGCTATTGGATATACTTATATTGAGCCCGCGCAGGGGAACCAGCATGCGTTGGAGTGGCTCTGCCATATATTCTATTTCTGCCGCTTCCTCAGACGGCATGAGGATAGTAGGTGAATCTGCTACCATGTGTGTTTCTGAGAGGACTTCATGCATGGCTGATCCGGCCGCCAGACAGGAGCCACAATTACATGTAATGGTTGCCCCACCGGTATGCTCCTCGTGCGTTGACTTCGCATTCGCATTCTCAGGTGTAGGCACGTGCATGCCCTCGGTAGCATCTGACATGCTTTCCGCTCCTGCCCCTTCCCCAGACCCTATGACGGTAGTGTGTGTATGTGTCACTAAATGTGCTCCAGGGAGGACTCCATGCATGGCTGACCCGGTCGCCAGATAGGAGGTACAATTACACCCCATAGCTGCGTCCTTGATCTGCTTATGCTGCGGCTTCTTCGCATCCCCTTCTACCTCCAGATACACAAAGTCTTCCTGTGAAATCAAAGGTTTGTTGAGAACTGTGGTATTGCCGGTTAGTATATCCATTCCAGTCTCCTCGAGGTATTGTTGGCGATCTTGTGGCACTGATTCCCTTCTGGAAACAGACTGCCTCTCAGCCATCTCCTCAGTCAGCCTGACCAGATGGGGCTCTTCAATCCCTTGCACATTAATGGATATACAAATTTGGCTAGGCTGCCCTCTTATGGGGACACTTATGAGTTTTATATTGCCGGTTTCATTCTCTTCCTTCTCCTTCCCGGCCTGCATTTCGGTGTGAGATTTGTCTGTCAATAACTGCGGATTAGGCACCCTCCTTTCGGCTGCACATTCGGCTGCGAAGTGACTCCACTCAGCTGACTTGCTTGCATGCAACGACTGCTCATCTGCCCTCACGGTTGGGGTAAAAACGGACGAGACGTCAACCGGTATAATGTCCATATGCTCCTGGGGGCAATTGTGATAGTAGTGGTGGTAGTGATGGTGATGGTAGTGATGGTACTGATGGTGAACATGTTCGTGAGTAACATGGCTGCGGAAGTCATAGTCACTGTGGCCGGAAGATGATGCCTGCAGCCCTAAATAAGTACCAGCAGATCGCAACTGCCCCTCCTCGTGAGCATCATCACTTCCAAGACCATCGACTGAAACTTGAAAGTTTTCATTCACCAAGCACGGCGACAAAATAACATCCTCAAAAAACAACCAAGTTTCAACATGTGCCACTTCCTCGGATCCCACGAACGTAGAAAACATAGGAGTCACCAAATCCGTCTCAGGGAGAGAGGTCTCCTTGATGGTTGGCTGGGCGGCATGGCCGTCTT